GGTACTCCAGGTCATGGTTATACCAAAGTGGAGGGACTCTTGAAATAGTAGGGTATACAGATGCTGATTAGGCTGGTTCTATATCAGACAGGAGATCAACTACAGGGTATTGTACCTTCCTTGGTGGCAATCTTGTAACTTGGAAGAGCAAGAAACAAACAGTAGTGGCAAGTAGTAGTGCAGAAGCTTAGTACAAAGCTATGGCTCATACCACATGTGAACTAGTATGGTTGAAGAACTTGCTACAAGAGATGGGGTTCTCGGTTAACAAACCCATGAGATTATATTGTGATAACCAAGCTGATGTTCACATCTCTTCCAACCCAGTCTTCCATGAGAGAATCAAGCATATTGAGGTCGATTGTCACTTTGTGAGAGAGAAAATGATAAGTGGAGTGATAATCACATCTCATGTGAGCTCAGGAAATCAGTGGGCAGGTCTCTTTACAAAGGGATTGTCTCGGGGTAGAGTAGATTATATTTGTGACAAGCTGGGGCTATATGACATATACTCTCCAACTTGAGGGGGAGTGTTAGAGTACACAAAACAGGGGTATTTTGGTCATTTGGGTTTATCTATTTGAGAGTGAAAGGTCTGTTTTATTTAAGTTTTAAGTATGTGTCCCATCACTTATGAGGGACAATATGGTCTTTCTTGTAAAGATAAATACAAGTGGGTCGCTAGAGAGAGGACTGATTTTCCTCTACTGGTCGAACCCTTCTTCTTCTCCTCTTCTTCTCCTCTTCTTCTTCTTCTTCTTCTCCTCTTCTTCTCCTCTTCTTCTTCTTCTTCTTCTCCTTCTCTACTGTAACCTAGGACTAAATAAGGTTTTCACAAGGAGAAAAGGACAGAACAATATGGAAGTATCACAAACTTTGTAAGTTAAAAATATGTAACAAGTGAAATTCTTATGTTCATCCAATCCATGTAAATTCTAGGTACTATCACTTCCAGTTTATTGGATATAAAAATGTATTCAACAGAGAAGTCAAGTGAATAATCTAATGGGCCCTAGAGGAGAGAGTCAGAAAACAAACAGGGAAAAAAACTAGTTTCATGAAGGGCGTATCTTTTAAGACATTTTCAGAGTATAATATGATCATTCAAAATAATCCAATACATCATACAGTAATGATCATTAATCAAGTAAGCTTTTGGCATAAAAGGCTTCACAGGTGGTAGCTATAAAATGGTCAATCCCATCAAAGTATCTGCAACTGCTATCAATGTACTCAGAGATAAGGATGATATACAACATTCATGCCTACTCAATACCTAATGTAACTTAAAAATAAAAAGGAAGCAAGTTGAAAATAAAATCAACTATATTTTAACCAGCATCATATTCCATTTGTCATCATAACATCCAATGGAACGTTCGAGATATAATCAAATAAAGAAAAACTCCACAACAGGGCTTTATTAAGGAGGGCCAATATCTGTTGACAGCTAACAAAAACATGAATTCATTGAAGTTGTTGCAATGTGTGTGAATAATAATTAAATTGGTCAAAAAATAGATAATAATGTTAAAAATAATAATAATAACAACAACAACAACAATAAGAAAAAGAAGAATGGCCAACTGATACCTATGACTGCATTTACATGGGAATATAAACCTGGGATAAGATCGTTTACCATTGATCATTTTTTATCAGTGACGCATCAAAAAAGATATTATAAACAGACATTCACAGTCAATGATCAGATATGCAAAACACAGACAAAACAAGAAATATAGGTAAAATACCTTTTGCCAATTGTCATTACAACAATTAAACCAATGGCAGGCACAACATTTTGTATCATCATCATCCTTTGGAATCTTCGGCAGATGTTTTACCATTACATAATCTTCTTTTAGCTTGGGTCCATATTCTGGTGAAAATGATAACTTAGAAACCTCCAAAAACTTGCAAACCTACAATGACGAATCCTCTTTGTGATTAAAAGGCATAGCAAGTGGAATAGTAACAAAAAACTATATGTGCATGCAAGTTAGAGAAGGTAATCACCACCTGGAAATTTTGAGACACAGACATTTATCAACTAGGATAGCACTAAGATCAAATCATCAGCAAAGATGATTAACATGAAAGCACTGAAAATAGTAGAAAACATATGAGACTGAAATATTGACCATCCTTTGTTTCTAGAAACTATGTGCAGAAACGAGGTCCTACGGTTGCTATAGGAGTTCCTTACCAAAAAAAGGTTTCTAGAGGTGTTGAGAAAACAGTTAAATTCAAACCATTTTTTTATCAGTAACAAGCAGTCCAAACTTCAAATTAATTGTGTTTCATATATAAAAGTGCTAAAAATACTGACAAACCACCTACATATTGTTGTTTGCCAACGACCTCTCATTGTGGAGAATATGCAATTGGAAGGAATTTTTAACTGCTTGTAAATTGAAAATGTAAAAATGGACTTTTCACCAATGAAAAAAAAGAGTTGAAAATTTTGGTCCTATTCTACTAAGTGAAGAAAAATTTTGTTGTAGTTAGGTATTCAGAGGCATGCAATAGTATTTTTATTCATATCTATTTTCCATAATTCATGCAACATATTAAGCACCGCAACCTCATGAGTTAACCAATTAATGATATTGTACAGGATAATAGAAAGGGCACTGAAAACATTTGCAGTTAGGATATGTAATCATTCATGTAGAGAGAGAGAGACAAGAGAGAGAGAGAGAAGAAGAGGAAGATATGATTGAGAGAAAAAGAAAACCTTCTTCTGGCTGCAGCCAGTTCATTATTTATATTAACTTAATATAAAAAGAATGGAAATTACAAGTATGCCCCTGGCGGCACTCCCTAGAAACAAACTAATAAGAAAGAAAGAAAATAACTAACTGACAGCATCTTAAGAGGACAACCCACTAACAGCAACTATAAAATAACAATTAAATAATCCTCACAACACTCCCCCTCAAGTTGGGTTGAATATGTCTA